AACTGTGCCCTGAGAAATACAGTCTGGAAAAATCTGTTAAGGAATTCACCTTTACACGCCCAGGTGCCTGATGCATGTTTAGTAGTAGGTGTTCAGCAAATGTTTTTTGAGTGAATGAACATATACATGATTCGGGAGGACCACTTTGAGCAGAGATCTCGGGTGCCTGTTTCACAGGACACAGGATCCAGGCCCATCTACAAACACCCCTCCTAAAAGCACCCCAAGGTGGGTCTGTCTTCATGGGCTTGTGACCTGTGCAATCATATATGCCCCTTCTCCCTGATCCTGCTAAGAAGCACCCTGCAGTTAGGTCAATGCTCTGCTGACACTTTCTCGAAATATTTAATCATTTTTTAAAAAGGAGGCTCCCATTTCCATTTTGTCCTGGGCCCCACCAAATGAGGTAGCTGATCTTCGTGAGGCATCCCGTGCTAGGGTTCTTCTGCTCCCTCTCCGTGCGCCTCCCTCTTCCGAGTGCCCAGGGGATATCTACCAGTCTTCTCAACTGCAGGCCCTCAGGTGTACCCAGCTTCTAGAGCCTTCTCTTCAATTTCTCTTTATCAAAACCTATATTCTGAATATACTGATAATGCAGATTATACTCTCTCTAGCTACCACGAAGGAAAGGACCGATCATCCTGTTTACATTAAAATGTTAATAGCCGAGAAGACAAAGTGTTGCCTTCAGCTCCCATCTCTAGGTTCAATGAACTTTAAAAAGAAATGATTCTTAAAAAAAACAAAACAAAACAAAACAAAACCTGATTCTTTTATCCAAAGATTGACCTTCTAATAACAGTGTTTTAGACATTCACTATAAACAGATTATTTTTGGCACCCTCCATAGATATACGTTGGGATGAATAAACTTTCCTATATCCCTCAAATTTTATACTCAGGGCAACTGCTGACAATATCACTCTATCTTTTCGTGAAACAGCTCTCATTCGTATTAAACACTGTTTCAAAAATTACAGTGTCATTGTGTTTTTTTAAAATGGCAAAGCATTATCAAAGAGATATGTTTTTGTCAAGCAGTTTAACAATAAATATATTCCAAAAGTCTGTATACTTTTATCTATAACTGATATGCATTTTGAGTTAGAAATCAGAAGTCCTTGGTTCCAAAGAAGTCTTTTTTGCTATTTCCTAAGCTCCATGACCTTGGGAAAGTTACTTGATATCTTGAATTCTTTGTTTCTAAATTAAAAAAAAAAAAAAAAAGGCGAAGCCAAAGAATACCTCTTTCCTACTTGTAGGTTCACTTTGTGAGTTAAAGGAGACATGTATGTGCTTTGAAGACCACGTAATGAGGCCACAATTAAATATACTTCTGAGTGTGAATGGTGCATTCTGGAACGTCCAGAAGACAGATCCAGAACTGAAGGCAAGGATGACCAGGCAACCTAGGCTGGGGACGAGTTCTGAAGAACTGATGAATGTTAACTGCAAGAGCAGAAAAGTGAATGTCTGGATTTTCTGAGGCCGGTTTTTCCCTTCACCGGCATAAGTTAAGGACATGGTCAATGGCAACGGTCAGCTACAAACTGGAATTTTAAAAATGAGATGTGATAGAAAAAACTTAAATGGAAGCAAGAGGCAAGGGGATGGGGGAAAAAGAAGTTGGATGGGGTGAAGGAAAGGAGGAAGGTTTTCTGTGTTGCTTTCTATAACAACTAGGGGCGGGCACAACAGAAGGAAGAGACAAGAAAAGTTAAATTGATGCTGATCCTGTGAAGGAAGGAAGGAAAAGGAAAAATCTTTCAAGGAAAGTTTTGAGGATCTGTTTCATAAACAACAGCTGCTCAGAAAGACTTTATGTAGAAGGAATCTTGATTAATAAAGCAGAATGATTTTGAGACACATACTGGCAGTAATTCAAGTCCATAAGCTTCAGATCAGCAGAGAAGTTGGCTATGTTTTGAAGATCCTATCAGGAGTAAAAGGACAAGCTTTGTGGGAAGACTTTTGTGGTGATAGAAGGCCAAGGCTATATTTTCTGACCATTTGCTTTAGGAAGGAAGGAGCAGATAGAGGAGCCATTGTGATATAGTTTTTAAAAAATGTATTTGTGATTCCATTCAAAGTTAGAGGACAATCTGGTAGACTCGACAGGGTAATGTGAGCGGGAAGTGGAAACCAAGGTGGAGGTCAGGCTACAAAAGCAGGTGTGTGGAGGGGAAGATGGGAGGGCAAATAGGCAAGGTTAGGAGTAACAAGAACAACAACAAAAAATGAGCAAACTGAGCCCATTGTTTTTCAGGATCCAAATAGGATCAGAGCAGGTATTGGAGGGCAACTTGGTTTGGAGTCAGTTTAGATCCATGCAGGTATCTAGCATTCACGGAGTTCCAGCATTAGCCAATAGGAAAGCAGGATGCTGACCCTCATCCTCTGACGCAGGACTCTTTTCTGGGTGTTTGTCGGTCCTAGAGTCTGAGGTAAAACAACTGCAACATATTCCAGCTGGGGTGAACAGAACTATATGGAAAGCAGGGGTGTCTGAAGAGACTAAGACAGTAATTGTAAGAGGAGAAGAAGAGGTAATTGGAGCTGATCTTCTTATGTACAAAAAGAAAACATTTGTGGAAGCAGCGACTCGTGTGGTATGAAAAGGTGGGAGTGGAGCGGGTAGAGAAAGGAAAACATAGGCTAAATGCTCTACTAAGTCACAGGTGTAATCTTGTCTTTATGTCACTGCCACTTTGTGGAGCGTAGATTATAAATTCCAGTTTATAGATGCGTGTTCAGGTTTTTTGCTATAGATATTGATAATAACTGTAGCTAAAAGTGGCTGCACAACTGTTATGTACAAGTCACTTTGCAGATTCTCTCTTAATCCTTACAACAAAAAATAGGAAATAGATACTATCATTACTCCCATTTTTCGAATGAAAAAACTGAGGAATGGAGAAGTCTTAAAACTTGCCCAAGCCACACAACCAGAAAATGGTGAGAATCAGGATGCAAACCCAGGCAATCTGTCTCCAGAGTCCAGACTCTTTACCACCATATTGAACAGCCTCTAATAAGCCAAAGTTAAGAGAAAAATAGAGGGATGATATACTTACAAAGACTTAAATACTATTATTTAAAAGGAGACAAGGACAGATAGGGATGGGGAAGGAAAACCTCATTCAGGAAGAGGAATTTGAATATTTAACTTTTAGAGATAAGAGAAACTTTATTAATAATTTTAATAATGATGATTATAATAACACAATGAACATTTACTGAAGGCTTACTATAGGCCAGACTTCGTTCTAAATGCTTTAAATATATTATCTCATTGAATTTTCAGAACAATTCTTTTGTCTCATTGATATCCTGTGACCTAGCACATAGTAGGTGCTATAAATATTTGTTGAATGAATCTTAAAAGGTGACTCTACAGTTTTACTTGTAGGAAACTCTAGGTCATAGAGCAAAATCCCTCTTATTTTATTACCTCACAACATTTATCTTTGTCTGAAATTACTCTGTTTATTTCTTAGCTTATTATTCTCTCTCTCTCTCTCTCTCTCAGCTTCATTCATCTTGTTTAATGCTGTACTTGCAGCATCTGGAACAATGCCTTCAGCCTGGGAGGTGATTAATAAATATTCTCTGTATGGATGAAACATGAGAACCCAGTATTTCAGCCTTTAGAACAACTCTTCTTATAATGCACTGAACTTCAGAGCAGAGAGGTGGGCTGGTTGTGTGCTGGGATGGCATCTTTCTCTCTGTGTTCTCTAGGAGCACCTGTTCACTTTCCTCACCATATACCTAGGTAGGCTTAGTCATAGGGAAAGGAAGATGAGAAATTTCTTCTTTGTTTTGTTTTTAACACATAAACAGAGATCATCACAAAGATGATCAAATGCTCTCTATATAAAAGTGATTCTTTCACCTTACACTCACTAGGATGGCTACTATTTTTAAAAACCTCAAATGAACAGAAAATAACAAGTCTTGGCAAGGGTGTGGAGAAGCTGGAACCCCTGCATATTATTGGTTGGATAGTAAGTAGTACAGCCACTACAGAAAACAGTATGGCATTCCTAAAAGAATTAAAAATATATTACTACATGATCTAATAGTTTTATTTCTGAGTATATAACCAAAAGAATCTCAAATAGCTATTTGTACCCGTGTTCATAGCAGTATTATCACAATAGCCAAAAGATGGAAGCAACCCAAGTGTCCACTGATAGATGAATGGATAAACACAATTCGATATACACACAATGGAATATTATTTAGCCTTAAAAAAAGGGGAGGGGATTCTGATATAACATGGATGAATCTTGAAGATATTATACTAAGTGAAATAGTTCAATAACAAATTGACAAACTCTTTGCAATTCCACTAATATGAGGTATGTAAAGCAGTCAGACTCATAGAGTCAGAAAACGAATGGTGGTTGCCAGGCACAGGTGGAAGGAGGAATGGGGATTTGTTGTTTAATGGGTACAGAGTTTTTCAACATAAAAAGAGTTTGGGAGATTGGTTGCACAACGATGTGGATATACTTGACACTACTGAACTGTACTCTTAAAAATAGTTAAGATGGTAAATTTTATGTGCATTTTTTATAATTAAAAAGGGTAGACTACAAAAAAAGATGACTTGATAGTATGACATATTCCTCATTTTAAAAGATCAAGATCCTAAAGTGAATGATTCAATTAAATCGATGAAAATGCAGAGTACGTAGAAAGAAATAAGCATGTAAGACTAAGAAGGAAGAGCTACTACCATCAACAACCTGTATCAGAAACAAGGAAGGATAAACATGAAGTTTGGGTTTTGGACACTTGATGGTCAGAGTTGAAAATAACACTTTCTTTGATGGCTTCTTAATGTAATGTATATTCTTAAGCACTTTACAAAAACCGCTATAGAGATTTAGGACTTTGGAGCCTGTGATATTTACGAAGTCAGGCTAATGAGAGCAGGTTGCGACTGATAATGTTGCTCTGAAGTCTGTGACACAAATCTCTCAGACACCCACCTGTCTACGCGAAGCTGGCAGACGATGCTCAGTGCATCGACAACTCCTTCTTCTTTCAGTTGTTGACAGCCAATGGACGTAGCGATAAAACACCCCGTTCTACCTATCCCCGCACTGAAAAGAAAGGACAAAGAATAAAAAGATGGAGGGAAAGTATCAAAGGTAAAATATATTCTTTAAAAAGAGATCTTTTAAATTTGAAACAACAGATAGGATTAACAACAACATCAACAACAACAGGTCTTGAGGGCTGAGTATCACAACCCTTGCCTTGTGCTAAGTGCTTAAACGACATTCTTTCCTTCAGTTACATGCATGCAGTAGGATGAGTGGGGTAGAGGGAGGTGATGGGTGGGGAGAATAGTGAAAAAGGCATTGTAACTGTTCTGCAGAGAATAATTGGGACCTGAATTTAGGTAAGGTATGGGCACTAGGAAAAAGACTTAGACACATCACAAATGTGAGTCTGGTGAACTGGAGCTGAACCGTCAGAAAAGCAAAAACTCAACGATGATTCGGCTTGAAGGATTGGTAGAATGGTAGCCCCAATGATACAAAAGGGGAATTCTGGAATGAGAGCTGATTTGAGGGAGAGAGAGCAGAGTTTGGTTTTGGATATACTGATGCTGAAGATTCTAGTGAATAACTGAAAATTCAATTCAGTTTAGGAGAGAGGAGGTGGCTAGAGGCACATATTTCCAAGTCATTTACATCCAGATGACAGCCGAATAGCAGCCTTATCAGTCCAAAAGTTTTTGTTTACACATTCATCTGCTTTGGAGAGTATGTCACCAGTCTAGCAAGCTTTCGATA